AGCCGTCTGGAGGAGAAGTTCTTGGAGGAGAACATCTTGCTGTTGCGGAAGCAATTGGTAGGTGGTGCCCAGAGGTGGGGCACAGCGTCCCTACCCCTAGGCTGGAGGTCGGGCAGGTGGGCTGGGTGGGTGCGAGGACGCCTGTAGCTGGGGTAAATTCTTGCTGGTAAGGGGACCTGTTCCCGCTACAAACCTCCTTGACCCCAGTTCCTGCGTGTTCCCGCGGCGCGACGCCCACGCATTTCTGGCGTGTGCCCGCTTTGTGTCAGGTGAGAAGCTGGCGACCTCGAGCGGATTGCGGGAAGCGGGTGGCCGCTCGCCTCCCTTACTCTGCATTCAAGATTCGTGCAGTTGCCTGACTTCCCCAGTTACACCAGTACAGGCCCTCTCCTCAAAGACTTGCAAACCTTTACTGAAAATTCTGTTTCTTTTGGAAGTCGTCTTAGTTCCGTCTCCTCCCGCGGAGAGAGGACAAAAGCCGAGGAGGGGCTTGTGGCGTTAACTGTCCAGCGCTGAATTTTATGATTACACCGAAGCTCCCGCAGGGAGCCGTGCCCCTCCCAGGGCTCACTCCCGCTGCCAGCTTTCGTTTGGACTGGTGCTTAGTTTCAAATAGAAGCTCTTTGTATAAGGCAGCTAAAACTAGATGCAAATGATGGAAATTTGGCTGAGTGGAGGGTGCTCCCTCCTCTCATGTCTTATACGATCTGCTGGCTGTGATTGGTGGTGGAGGTGGGAGAAGAGAGAACCTGCTATCCGGAAGCATTTATCTTATTGGATTCCTGTCAGTGTCTCAGTCACCCTCTGCTGTCTTCATTAATGGGGAAGAAAAAGAACTTTGGACCTTAGTGTATTGAACAGCTTTTGACCCCGCCTCGTAATAATGGCGGCAGCTTTGTCTCAGTGACCTCAAAATGTAGTTTTGGAAACAGCAAAAAGGTCTTTACCTCACCTTGTGATACTATCTAAAATCAGACACACGGTAGATAATAACCTTCCTACAATAAAATGGTGATGCCGTGTGGTTGTCATGTGGTTTTTTTCCTCTTATTCTCTGTTTTCAGATTTTTTTTTGTCTCTTTTGAGCATCCGAGTGCTTTTCACTTGCTTGGTTTATTTTTCCAGAAGAAACTCAAGTCTAGCCAACACATGTGGTTTATGTCTCCAACCGGTTTTAATTAAAGGGCCGACGAGTAGATATTTCTATGCATTTATTTTGTAAAGCTGTATGCTGTGTTTGTGCAATACCTCTGTTTTAGCATTTTCTGTTTCATTGGTAACAGACCACGTTTGTGTATAACACAGATTTGAGCCACTCTTTAGTAGTGACGTCAGGCCATTTACATTTTGTGTATTGTCTTGTACAATAGCACCTTTTTGTCTTTGTAAGTGGTATATTCCTATTGTCTGCTTGAGGGGAACAAGGCAGTTTGTCAGAATTCCAATCCAGTCAGTGTTTATGGTACTGTTTTCATTTGTAGACTTGGCATTGGTGATTTGAACCAGATGCCTTCTGAGTTCTTTTGCTTTCCCTAGCAATAGGAAGCACTAGGTGGCGGTGTGAGTTAGCACAACCGATCTGTCACCTTTGGTAACCTAAGCTGAGTTCAAATCTTGATGGGCCTTCCCTGGAGGGTTTTGGATTCTGCCAGCTCACATTATACTTGGCTGGCTATTAGTATTAGTTTCTCACTTTCAAAGGCCCTAAGACTGATTAAACGCTACAAAGCAACTAATAGAAAACAAAACTGTAGGCCAAGACATTTGGCCAGGAAATCTCACCTAAGTAAGATTATAGCATATTGTATGAAATCTGTTACTCCGACTTCAAATTCAAGAGCCTCCTATGTAGTATTGTTTTCTAAAAAACTGGCTGTGCACCAGATGATTTAAAGTCTCATGGCATTTTTCTTATTCCTACCTATAAAAAGTCAGTTTGTATATGTTAGTTGAAACTAAAAATGAGTCTTGTTTTTATAAAGAAATCACATCACCAGAAAATGAGAAAGTAGAATAGAGGACATACTCTTGAGTTCTTTAGTGATTTTGAGTTATCCAGTAAATTTTTGGTTTTGGAAAGTTTAGTGAACTCTTCAGATAGGTAACTTGAATACTTAGAGCAGTCTTTCTGGTACTTTGTCACCAAAGTGTGTTCATTTTCCATTCTCTATTTCTAATCAGAATTGTTTGAGGAGAAGAGATGCTGGCTTGTTAAATCAGTTGCAGGAACTTGACAAGCAAATAAGTGACCTGAGATTGGATGTAGAAAAGACATCTGAGGAGCACCTGGAGACAGACAGCCGGCCTAGCTCAGGTGAGTGAGCACAAGGACGAAAAAATCTATTCATGAGTTACATTGCAGTCCCCTGTGGTTAACATTTCCAGACCTGCAAATGGTAATGGAGTTTGTTTCCAGTGCAGAGAGAGAATTAAAAAAACAATCTTCCATTCAATTATATAAGAGGGAAATAAAAATCAGACATTTTTAATAATGAGATTGATCTGGTTGGAGTCCCCTAAGTTTAAAGTAAGCTCCTATTCAAATTTGTGGAAGAGTGGTCCTCCTTTGAAATTTGAGAAAGTCAGAACCAGGCTAGAGAATTAGTCACACTTCAACTTCCTGAGACTACTTTAGAAGTTCTTTTTTCTTTTAAACCATTTGGCTCCTTAAATACATTTGTTTTTCTCTTGAAGTTATTCCTCTGAAACATTCATGATAAAATGAAGGCTCTGACAAAATAAAGTTTCTCTTTGCACATCTTTAAAGGTGAGGTCAAGGAAGAAGGTCAATTTGAGGGTGAGAGTAACTTTGAAATATATCTGTAGTAACAGGCTCTTTGCCTTATTCCTAAGGATTGTTTGAAATTAAACCATAAAATCAGGACATTAAAATTCAGTGGACCTAGGGCCAGCAGGTAGCTTGATGGTTGAGGTGCTAGACTCCCACATGGCCAACTGTGGTTCAGGTCCTGGATCTGGTGGCTTGTTTTCTCACTTTTCCTTTTCTCTCTCTCTGGTCACATTTAAAAATAATAATAATAATAATTAATAAAATTAAATACTGTTTAAAAATTCAGTGAACCACAAACTGGTCTGGGGAAGGGGGGGGGAATAACACCTCCTTTTCCTGATTACTCCTTTTTTTTTTTTTTCAATGTATTTTTAAATGACTGTATATTATCCTTGATCTGATCTTAATTCCAATGGTGTTTTTATTTGTAGGGTTTTATGAGCTGAGTGATGGGGCTTCAGGATCCCTCTCCAATTCTTCCAACTCAGTATTCAGTGAATGTTTATCCAGTTGTCATTCTAGTACCTGCTTTTTCTGGGGAAGGGGGGGGGAAAAACACTTCCTTTTCCTGATTACTCCTTTTTTTTTTTTTTCAATGTATTTTTAAATGACTGTATATTATCCTTGATCTGATCTTAATTCCAATGGTGTTTTTATTTGTAGGGTTTTATGAGCTGAGTGATGGGGCTTCAGGATCCCTCTCCAATTCTTCCAACTCAGTATTCAGTGAATGTTTATCCAGTTGTCATTCTAGTACCTGCTTTTGCAGCCCCTTGGAAGCAAACTTGACTATCTCAGACAGCTGCCCCAAATCTGCAGGTAAGAAGTTTTAGCACTGATAGAAAATTTTAATTGAAAGAGGTCAAGGACCCTTGAAGGTATATAGCTCCAACCACTTTTGCTGATGAAAAGACAAAGATTAATCGATTTGCTGCATTTAGTGCCCTAGTTAAATCTAGAATCCATCATTTCATCTAAGTGAATGTCTAGAACTATTCCAGTACTCTTTGGGTGCCACTTGGCTTTATCTTCTGATAGTACCAAGAAATCCTGTCAATATTGTGGGCCTTGAGCTCTATTTCTGAACCTTTGCTATTAGTTTAACTTGTCTACATTTTCTTTCGAAAACTACTCTGGAGCTATTTTCTTCTTCCTTTTACTCATTGAAAGGTAAAGCACACATTAAGGTAAATATGGCTGTCATCCTGGCCAATAACTGCTTAGCACTTCAGGGAGCAGTGGTCTCTCAGTAATTCTACAGAATGCTTTGTTTGATGACAGCTCTTTTTATTTTTAACTGGTAGGTGAGATGGGATTCTCTAACCCTATGCCCTTATTCCCTGTTTTGTACTATCTTTGCATGGACCTTCAGAGAGAATTATGCTATTGTTGGTCCCGGAAGTGTTTCAGCATTTCCACTATACATAATATAGTGTACTGATGTTCTGCATACATGTGATTCCTTTCAGTCCTCTCAACAGTTCTGAAAGGTACAAGTGTTGTTAGCACCATTTTTTTCTTCATGATAGAGCACTCATGAGTGAGGATGAAAGAGATAAGATAAGCACCCTTCACAGGATCTCATCATTCTGTGATCTCCCTTCTCCAGTTCTCCAGCCCACTGGATCTTGGACACTTGTGTATGAGACTAATGTTTTACAGGCTGACTAGGCTGGGGTTTTGAACTGTGGTCTCCATGTGGGATTTGGGGAACCAGCTTTTTTTTTTTTTTTAAAGGTTTTTGCCATAAGGTGTGTATGTTCACTGGATAGAGAGAGTGAGAGAGAAAGTGAGAAATCACCTTCGGGGGATAACATTACATTTGCAATCCCATCTCCTCCATCCTCAAGCACAGGTCCAACTCCAACTGTCAGGTCCATGTTTTTATACCCCCCACCCCAATTCAGAAGTTGTTATATTCAACCTTATCATCTCGCAGACAAAATAGTTTTGGTTTATAAGCCATTTGTCAGATATTCCTCATCTGCTGATTGGCAAAAGTTACTGCCAGGACTGCTTATATCATGAGTCCTTGGAAGATTGCAGAAATGAGACTAGAGTTGCTTTATGTGCATGTATAAGTCATCATATCTCTGGTTTGTCTGTGTTCTTCTCTTAGGTATAAGGTTTGATTTTTGAGTTCAGGCAAGGCAAACACCACACAGCTGAGGTTGCTACTTGGCTGGTGTCTTTATATTTGCATGGTGTGCATTGTCAGTAGCAATTATTTGAGGACACACAGAACTGTGTATCTATGTCTAGGCCTCAAGTTCATTGGTAATTGCTCCCCATTCACTCTGCAGATCTGGTTTCAGAGAAACTTTATAAACCCATTAAAGGCACTTTGGTACAGGTTTTCCTTGAAGACAGACCTCTGTTCTCCCAAATGCCACATCCTCACATAATTGAGACAGCTGGGCTGGGTCTTCGGGGGTAGAATATCTGTTTTGCTCAGCTATAAATTGGGAAAAGAGATGAATATGTAGCTTTAAGTAAATCAAAGGTAGGACTTTGGATGGCAGGAGAAGAATGGGCATGGGAGGTAGCTAGAGAGGTTTCTTCTTAGAACAAGCTAATTTGGGGGGATTGAATGGGTGGGAACCCAGCCTTTTATTTTACAGAGAGATGGTAAGAGGGAAAGTGAGAAATCACTCCCCACTCCAGGCATGATGGCCATACCATAGTCCCTTCTCCTCCATTTTCTACCTGAAATTTTGGGCACGAACACACACACCCTGCATGATTTTCAAGCTGTCAGGTCTGAGACTCAAATTGTGGTTGGCTATCTGGGAATCTAGGGCTTTAACCACCACACTACCTGTTGGCCTCAACTACTCAATCTTTTAAAATATTATCAAGGGGGTTAGCAGGTGGCATAGTGGTTAAGGCTGTAGATTCCCACTTGGGTGACCACAGTTTGAATCCCAGACCTGGCGGTTTATTTTCTCACTTTCCCTTTCTCTCTGTCTCTCTCTGGTCGAATTAAATAATAATAATAATAATAAATAAAATTAAAATGATTAAAAAATCCATTTAGTTTTAACTTTATTATCATTGTTATTATTATTTTCCAGTTTGATCAGAGAGAGACAGACAGAGGGAGAGAGAGGGAAAGTGAGAAAGCAAGCCACCAGGTCCAGGACTTGAACTGTGGTCGGCCATGTGGGAGTCCAGCACCTTTAACCACCATGCCACTTGCCAGCCCCCTAAAATTAAAATAATTCTTTAAAAAGCTTATCAAGAATTCCTTATCCTATTAAAAGTCATTATATATTTACTGTCATTGTGGAAATATAAGGCAATTATTATTTAAACTTGATTAGTCTTGAAATTTGATCAGTTTCCCTGACTTTTCCATTGACAGTTATATTTGAACAGATGTCATTAGGAATTAGTTAAAAAAAATACAAAATGGGGCAAAAACCCATAGAAAGTATGGTTTTTCCAACTTATTTTAAGGGAAACCAGAGAGGAGGGGAGAACAGCTTAGAAAGAAAAAAAACAAACTCAAAAAGCATTATTTCCAGTTATAAATAAAGTATATTATTGCAGAAAATCTAGAAAACAGAAAACAAAGTAAATATCACTTGCTCTCCCATCACACTGAGATGCTACTTGTGTATTACAATCTTGGTGTATTTTATCTCAGACTTGTTTTTTGCATATACACACTTTTTTTTTGGAAACATTTTTTAAAAAAAAGAATTATTTAACTTTACCTATTTATTTAATTTTAATTTGAACAGAGAAGGGGGGAGAGAGAGCGAAAGTGAGAAAGCAAGCCGCCAGGTCCAGAACTTGAACCGCAGTTGGCCATGTGGGAGTCCAGCACCTTAACCACCACACCACCTGCTGGCCCTGCATACAAACTGCTTAATAAATTATAATTATACTCTGGAACTACCATTTTCACTAAGCTTTAAACTGTTCCCCTACAATTCAACAGTTTGAAAGTATTACTGGTGGCTGAAAATTTTTCCTTTATAGGAGATATCATATCTTGTCAAAAGTATTAAGTATATTTTCCCTCATGCAATAGTATGAACTATATGAAAAGAGCAGTTGATGGAATATTTTTTAATCCTTTGGCATTTTCTCTCTACACATGAATTTGTCTTCATAAAAACCGGCCAGAATCGCTTCTCGGCCTTTTGGCTAAGATCAAGTGTAAAACCGGCCAGAGAGTCAAGCTGGTGCTGACCAATTAATTTCTTCAGAGTGTATCTTTAAATGTTTTTCAGATCTCATAGGATGGTTGGAATATAAAGAAGGTCACTGTGAAGACCAGGCCTCAGGGGCAGTGTGCAGTTCCCTCTCCACACCACAATTTAATTCCCTTGATGTCATTGCAGATGTGAATCCCAAGTACCAGTGTGATCTGGTGTCTAAAAACGGGAATGATGTATATCGGTATCCCAGTCCGCTTCATGCTGTGGCGGTGCAGAGCCCAATGTTTCTCCTTTGTCTGACGGGCAACTCCCTGAGGGAAGAGGAGAGACTTGGGAGCCACGCCAGTGACCTTTGCGTCGGATCTGAGGTAGATGCCATCAAAACAGACAATTCCTTACCATCTCCAAATGGTCTGTGGTCTGCTTCTCATCCTTCATCCAGCAAAAAAATGGATGGCTACATTCTGAGCCTGGTTCAGAAAAAAACACACCCTGTAAGGACCAACAAACCAAGAACCAGTGTGAATGCTGACCCCACGAAAGGGCTTCTGAGGAATGGGAGCGTTTGTGTCAGAGCAGCTGGCAACCTGTCACAGGGCAATGGTGTAAACCTTAAGAATTCGAAACCGGTGTGTTTGCCCTTGGGCGGGATCCCATCTTTGGACAATGGGATATTCTCCCCACTGAAGCAGTGGTCAAAAGAATCAAAGGCAGAACAACTGGAAAGCAAGAGGTTGCCCCCACCAGAGGGCTGTTCACCAGACGCTGCCTCCGAACTTCAGAGTAAGCATCTGCCCAAAACTGCCAAGCCAGCCTCTCAAGAGCAAGCGTGGTGTCCCACTGCTGGGACAGGAGAGTCCCTTAAAGAAACTAGTCAGATCTCAGCTACTTCTCCCAAAGAGAGCCCAGGCCGAGGGCCCGCCCCGCTGCAAGAGAACAAAGTTGTCCAGCCTCCGAAAAAGATGGCCCAGAAAAACGGCCTTCAGAGTGTCCCTCCAGCCGCTCCACCGCCTCTGTTGCCTCCAGCTTTCCCCAAGGAGGAGAGGCCTGCCTTGGATTTCAAAAGTGAGGGCTCTTCTTCCCAAAGCCTCGAGGAAGGGCATCTGGTCAAAGCTCAGTTCATCCCAGGCCAGCCGCCCAGCACCAGGATCCACCGGGGACACAGGAACGTGGGTGCGGCGAAAAGCTCCACACTGAAGCACCGCGGCCAGGCCCTGCAGGGGCTGGAGAACAGCCTGCCCACCGTCAGAGAGAAGACCCGGGCGGGAAGCAAGAAGTGTCGCTTCCCCGACGACTTGGATACAAATAAGAAACTCAAGAAAGCCTCTTCCAAGGGCAGGAAGAACGGCGCGGGGCTGCCTGAAGCGGGACTTCCCAGCAGGCCTCTGGGCAGTGGCCACAGGGCGGGGCCTAGGGCACATGGCCACGGACGGGAAGCGGTGGTGGCCAAACCTAAGCACAAGCGAACTGATTACCGGCGTTGGAAGTCCTCCGCCGAGGTGTCCTATGAAGAGGCGCTCCGGAGGGCCAGGAGGGCTCGCAGGGAGCACGCGGGCGTGTACCCGGCGCCGGTGCAGCTGCCCTACACCAGCCCGTACGCCTACGTGGCCAGCGACTCGGAGTACTCGGCCGAGTGCGAGTCCCTCTTCCACTCCACGGTGGTGGACACCAGTGAGGACGAGCAGAGCAATTACACCACCAACTGCTTCGGGGACAGCGAGTCCAGCGTGAGCGAGGGTGAGTTCGTGGGGGAGAGCACCACCACCAGCGACTCTGAAGAGAGTGGGGGCTTAATTTGGTCCCAATTTGTCCAGACGCTCCCAATTCAGACGGTCCCGGCTTCAGACCTTCACAACCACCCCACAAAAACCTTTGTCAAAATTAAGGCTTCGCATAACCTCAAGAAGAAAATCCTCCGCTTTCGGTCTGGCTCTTTAAAGCTGATGACCACGGTTTGAGTGACGCCGTTGGTGTGGGAAGTCTTTTTTTCCCCCTAGTTACCAGGAAGAAAACAAACAAAAACAAAATGAAAGGGTGGCATTTTAGATTTTGTGTAATAATTTCATGGAATGCTTTCTTTTATTAAGATAAAACCAAGATAAATGCTGTCTCATCTTCATCACGTGTGGACATTAGTGCCTTTAATGGAAGGTAAAGGATGTTTTGCTAGTTAGAAGTAAATATTTGAGGTTGTAATGGTGGTGATAGTTTTGTGGTATCAGCGGATTTTTAGTTTAAGTTTTCTGAGCATCTGGCAAGGTACAGGTTTTGATGTTCAGGTTTTATTGGTATGCGACCTTTTGATGCCAAGGTCAGGTGGATGGAATTTCAGGACAAATATTTGTTCCTTGATTCTTTAGGGCAGTGTCTCCATGAGGGTTTTCCTGTTGATGGCCATCACATACAGTTGTGTGAAATATGTACGAGAGGCATCCTTGTTTTCTCTAATTTTTTGTATAGTTTACATTTCTCAGATGCATCCCCATGTGCATCCCCATACTGTTTTCTTCTCAGAACCCTTCTGTTTACTGGACTCAACTTGTAGACAGTCTCTAAGTCCAGTGTTGGCAGCCTGGATAGAGAAGCTGGTAATAGCTTAAAAGGATCACAGAAACTTTTACCACAGTGGTGCCTAGGCCCTGGTTGCAGAAACCCTTATAGGGCTGTGTATCCAACTCTGATGCCTTTCTCTCCCTCCCTACTTTGTAGGCAGTCGAACCCTTCCTTTCTTGGAGGACTTGCTTTGGAATAAAATTTTGGTCCTCGGGTACAGAAAACTTTGTTCTTAATGAAATAACCCTTGGCCGTGACCCCAAGCCCAGAATTATTCTCTGAGCACTGTGCCACCTACGCATTGGCCTGAATACGTTAGTGCAATCCAGTCCAGATTGGACCACTATCTGGAAGGGCTTTTTTTTAAAAAAAAAGGTTTTTGGTAAACAGTATTGTGTAAAATTGCTTTTTTTATATCAATAGTTGCATGTTTTGTGCATGAGTAGTATTTGTTTTGATATTCCTGTTGGTGTTAAATTACTGTATGATACAAATAGTATGTGTTTTTATATATCATTGTGTAAATTTAATATAACACATTATATCTGTAATAAACAATTTGTTTTACTGCTAAATTTGTTATTTGGGTATAAAACCAAATGTTTACACCTATAAATGTTGTGCTCGTTATTGGTGTTTTTTGGTGAGATTTATGTTAGTTCTATGGTAGCATTAAAATATTATTTGTAATAATTAAGGCAGATTTTAGTATTCTTGGAATGGATAATGAATAATGAATGAAGAGGGGAAACTGCTTCTTTAGAATAGTAAGGTACTTTAAAATTTAAGGAAAAATTTTATTTTGTTTATTTTTAAATTATTTTACTTAACTTTATTTATTTATTTATTTTAATTTGAGCAGAGAGAGAGAGATATCGAGAAAGCAAGCCACCAGGTCTAGGACTTGAACCCCAGTCAGCCATGCGGGAGTCTAGCACCTTTAACCACCGTGCTACCTGGCCCCAAAATTTAAGGACAATTTTATGGATGTTTTCTAAGGAAAACATTTCTGAAGAACACTCCCCTCAACTTTGTATTATTAAAAATTTCAAACATGGAAAAGTTGAAAGGATTGTACAATGAACTTCTGTATAGCCACCACCTAAATTCAAAAATTGCAAACATTTTACTGTGCTTGCTTTAACTCTTTGTGTTAGGATATACTATGTTGCAGGGTTTTTGTGGGCCAAAGATAAATATTGGCAATTTTCCCTTCTCATTAAATACACTATGTTATTATTTTATGTTTTCTAGAGGTTTTTGCCTTAGGGCATGGGGGCTTGCTGGGAATAGAGGGAGATAATGACAGTGAAAGGGAAAGTGAGAAATTGCCCTCCAGGGGGATGGCCATGCTGCAATCCCTTCTCCATTCTCCTCCAATCCCTTCTTCATTCTCCTCCCAGGATCTTGGACACACATACATACACACACACACATACACACACACACACACACACACACACACACACACACACAGCTTTAGTTTCAAGCCACTGAGTCCAGGACTCAAACCACTGTTGGCCATATGGGAGTCCAGCAATGTAACTGTTATGCCATCTGCTGGCCTCAAGTACACCATTTTACAGTAAATTTCCAGGTATGATATTTTACCACAAAAGTGTAATCATGTGTTTCCTAAGAACAAGAATATTCTGCTATATAATCACAATGTCATGATCATACCCAAGGAAAGTTAACAGTAATTTATAATATCAATTACTTAATCTATATTCAAAATTTCTATTTGTTTCAATAATTTTTTTAGTAGTTGCTTCCCATCTCCTCCATTTTCCCCTCTCCCCAAACCAGAATTCAATCAGTATTATGTATTGCATTTGGTCGTAGGTCTCTGTTTAGGATAGACTAGTCCCCATATTTAAAAAGAGAAAATAACATAGGCTTTTAAAAAATATTTATTTATTTATCTATTGATATGTTGTGATTTTTCAAGTCACTGGGGTGAGTGTCAAACCATGGGCATCCATGTAGAAATCCAGCACTCTAACCACCATGCCACAGCTGGCCTGACTGGGTTTTGAAGAGTCAAGACAGTTGTAGAAGGGCCCACTCTTTGGATTTGGTTGTTTCCTTATGCTTTCTCTCAACATCTTCTGGCCCCTTTATTTTCTGTTAACTGTATGATGATTGGATTCATGTTAAACATTCTTAGCAAGAAGATTTCACTAGTGATGTGTCCTTTTCTTGCTTCACAACAAGAAACAATACCATGTTGTCCCCCACTAGTACAGAGTTTAAGAGTGAACCCATGGTTAAATTGGGTTGGGTTCACTTAACACATGGCTAAATTGGGCAGAGTTTTAGATACATAGCATTCTCCATTATAAAATTATGTTTCTGTTTTATTTTATTTTATTTTATTTTATTTTATTTTATTTTATTTTGAAATAGTATTAGGGTGATTCTTCAGTACTGTGTGGATATCCCATCCCTCAAGAAACTCCACTTAATGGCTTTAGTTTACATTGCTGATCCTTGTCTGAACCATTTAGTGCTTTGGGGATGCAAAATAGTAGTTTTCTATTTCTTCTACTTTTATTAGCTGAAATTAAAAAAAATAATAATTTCTTTTACTTTTTCCTTTCTCTCTGAATATCACTATGGATTCATGAATCCATATTTATTTGATATTTTACAATCTCAGTCTTTCTTCTTTTTTTATGTTCAGCATGTCCCAAATTTGGCCAGTAGGAGGATAAATTTTGTTAAAAGAAAAATCGTAAAATCAATTTAGTCTTATAACTCAGGTATTTATTATGAAATATATTCAATTAAAATTATTATTATTGTTACTGTTATTTTTGCTATAGGGTGTGTACATTCTCCTGAGAGAGAGAAAGTGAGGAATCACCCCCCCCATCCCCCTCAGGGAAGATGGCTATGTCACAATCCCTTCTCCAGCTCCCCTTGGGATTTTGGGCATGTATACACATAAACGTGGCATTTTTCAAGCTGCCAGGTTTGGGACTTGAACCACAGTTAGCCATGTAGGAGTCCAGCGCCTAACCACTATGCCTCCTGTGGTCTCTAAAATTAATTTTTCAAATGCAAAGTTTTAGATGCTAAATTAGTGCAACAAAAATCTATTTTTTTATATATTATTTTTTCCATGAGAGAGAGACAGACAGACAGCGACAGAGAAGCAGGCACTCCCAGCAGGATCTTCATGCTGTGATGCACTCTCAGACTTGACCAGTCCAGAGCAGATCATAGGCATGATCTGGCATATTCAAGATGTCCCAGAACTCAAAGGCAGGGCTTTTCACCTGTGAGTTTTCAACCGCATTGTTGCTCTGCTGCTGCCTGGTCCCCAACAAAAATCTCTTAACTATACATTTTTTGATCCTGTCTTGGGGAAAAAACTTTTTTTACTATATATGCCTCTTTTCTCTAGAAAGACTTTTAAAGTAAATTATTTTTCTGTTGCATGTAAAGGTCACGTCTTTTTACAAGGCATTTTTTCCCCTTAAGTAATTGTTTTGGCAAAACATCTCAGAAACCTCAGTTCTTAAAAATGTTGCTAGTCTTAGTTTTTATTTGCAACTAAGCATTCTGTTTTGATTAGATCTTATTTGATTACCTGAGTAGATTCAAATGAAGCACAAATGAGGGGGGATGAACTTACTCTTTTTTCTAAGATTCGATGTTGGGCATTGCTATACAATTTGCTATGTAAGGCAACTGTGACCTGCCGTCAGTTCTTGAATCATTTCCAAGGTGTTCTCAATGAGTATTACTCTTGGAAGAGAATTTCTGAAAATCAGTTTTTGGTAATTACATTTTAGGTGGTAACACCAAACTTAAAGAGACACATGAAAAACAAAATTTTTAAAGAACACTGTTTGTCTTTTTCCTAGTCTATTTCTTGACTTTTCTATTGCTAGCAGTTGTGCTGGACCTGAAAATTAGATTTTGTCCCTTATTTTCAATGACAAAATTGCCACTATTAGAAACTCCTTCCTCAACCTTCTCATCCTACTCTTCAATAAGTTTGGTGTGTATATTTCCATACTGTGTTCTGTGCATATACAAATAAATAACTTTTGTACTTAAAATACAGCTGAAGACTTTTAAAGAAGTCTATTATATACAAGTTATGCATTATTCTATAACTTGTGTCTTTCATTTTATAGACCTACATGGCAGATAAAATTTTGTGTGTGTGTGACGGAGTATGTTGTGTGCATGTGAGAGTGAGAGACAGACAGAGGCACCCCAACAGGCTCTGATCATACCATGTTCCCCCTTTCTCAGCTCTCCATGCTCCTCAGATTTTTGGGCTGCCACACGCGTTCCCAATGTGTTTTCAGGCTGACCCTGGGATCCGACCTCACAATCACCATATGGCTTATAGCCTTATAGGGCACTTGGGTTACCACTGGCTGGTCCTTCAGTTCTTTTTCATGGGATTCCAAGTTATTTCCTCACTGAGGAAAAAGAGACTAAATTTTATGGGCTACTTAAATTTGCTCTGCTTAGAAAAACTCTTTAAACATTTAGCAATAAAATGTTAAACATGTGCACACATACTGCCTTTCTTGTTTTCTCATGTATGTTGTTTTGTATTGTGAGCTCACTTTCAGTGGGTTGTTATTAAAGGAATCCTGTGAGACCTCATTAAGGATTTTGCCAGGTGCCTCAGGAATATTTCTAGACTAGGTTTTTTTTTTTTTTTTTTTTCCAGAGGTTATGTGCACTTTCCAGAGAGAAAGTGAGACAACACTCCCATAGGAAATAGCCACACTGCAATCCCTTATCCTTTTTTTTTTTTTTTTGGTGGGGGGGATTCTGGGCACATGTGCATGGATACCTGGTGTGTTTCTCAAGTTGCTGGATCTGGGATTTGAACTGCACAGTTGACCATGTGGGATTCAGCTGCCTTAACCATCACACCACAGGCCAGATTCATTTTTAAAGTTAATTTATCTACTTTGTAGTTTCCTAACTATAGAGATAGCATAAATTCAAATCCTAAATCAGTATGAAGATAGACTATGATTATGTGTTCTTAAAGGAGACTTTTCCCAAGGTAGACAAGTTTCTTTAATTCCATCCTGGGCCAGCAAATATTTTTTCCTGATCTAAATTTGCATTAAGGGTATGGCCCTTAAGTGATCTCAGGAATATGGGGGAAGTCCAGCCTTGATAGTGCATAAAGTAGCATACTGAACTCAGTGCTGGGAGCCATGTGACTGATCAGATCCTGTTTAAATCCCAAGTCAATCTGAAATACCAGCAGCTTGTGCATCCAAGATCTTGACTATCTGGAGGGCAGTGGGAAGGGGATCATGGTATGATGAAACCCTGTCGAAGGTACTTCTCTCATAAAATAAATGAAATTTTTTTTTTAAGAAAAATAATATGGGGAGACCAGCAGTCAGCGTAATGGCTACATTGCTGGACTCCTATATAGTTCACCACGGTTCAAGTCCCAGACCTGGTGACTTAAACTCACGCCGGGCATGTGTGCATGTGTGCCCAAGATCCCGAGGGGATAATGGAGGAGAAGAGATCGCAGTGTGGCCATCCCTCCTGGGGGGGTGATTTCTTTCTTTCTGTCTCCCTGTCTCTCTCTTTCTGGCGAGTGCACGC